TGTAAAGCTTGAACAGTGCAATTCAGCAGCATGATAAAAATACATATAATGCATTCAATCGGTTTATCAGTACAACAGCGAAATTGCTGGATGCATAAAGGTTCGCTCAACAAAAACAGCGACAGATAATCCTTGCAAACATCATACAACATACCTGTTACTCGTGCTTTAGTTGTGACTGCTGTCGTAGATAATTTTGTACTGGAATTGCTAAAACTCCTTTACGAATAATTTCAATGTGGGCTCTGGGGGATTTGATTATTCGCTCACCGATAATGGATATTGCTTACTCACTCTGCAAACTTCGTTTAGATTTGAGTAATAGAATTATCCTTGTTTTGCTCTCATTTACCGACAAGCAGGTAGTTACTCCAATCAGCCGTAGTGTTTGCCCAGTAAGTTTTGTATGATACTATTGGAAATGAGTGTTAAAGTATAGTATATATCGGAAACAGTGAATCATCCATCTCTTCCCCTCACAATCTATGGCAGACAGATAATCAGAATGAATAAAGTTCTCTAGTGTTAAAGACCACGGCAGGTACTTAAATATAATAGGGTGTAGATATGAAGATAAGTACAATGAAAAAATCTCACTCTCACTGTCACACTCACTCATTCTCACTGGAATAAGCAAAAGCACTTCTCGTTCAAGCGTTCCTGGTACACTAAATACTTTTGAGTTTAAATGACGCTGTTTCAATAAGAAGTAGTTTTTCATGCTCTATTCGAATATACAATTGAACTAATCAATACAAGACGGCATTACGTCGAAAACTGCGATATACGAGCAAAAGTACCCTATTTGCTTCATTGATTATCGACATTTTCATCTTTCTGATTAATGTCACTTAAGTCGTTTTCTGTCCATTTCTGTTGGAAAGATGCGTAAATAGTTTAGTCTGATATTTGGCGTAAAAAACACATTTCTTCATCTAGTTCGAACGGCAGCATAAGTGTAATTTACTAGAAGAAAGAGGAAACTGATTTCATATTCGTACAACCTATGATATTTGTTAGTGAATCTCTGTAGGTGATAAATTAATGTTGATATAAAAGTTACAGATATGTTTATCCATGATGTATGTAATAAAAGGAGTAATGAAGATTCAAATATTAAATTGGACGGTCATTTCTGTCAGAATTGAGCTTTTCTTATTTAGCTTTTTTGTTTCAAAGAACTTGGAACTCGATATAATGAAAAGAAAATTTGTCGTGGATCCTCATAGTAAAAATAAACAGACACGAACAGGAGTCCAAAAACTTTGAGTCGACTCGACTCAACTCGACTCGGATTGATTCGAACTCATTATTAAATAACCCGGACTCACCTCGCCCATACCTGCTTAATAAGGGCTTAAATTTACATCTTTCTGCATCCAGCAAAGTTGGATGATGACATCTTCTATCAGATAGTAAATTAAAATTCAAATAAAAGTTTCGAAAAAAAAAGGCGAAAGAATGGCATTGTTCACTGGTCATTATTTCTTAGTATATTACGAGAAGGGTTTTGACCCTATGACAGCAGAACGAGCCACAGGCAGTCTGAAAGGCCTGTCATATATAGTAAACATATAACGCTAAATAACTAGATAATATTTAATAAATATAATTAGATCTTCAAATGGAAACATAAACTTTACTTCTAGATACCAATCTTTATTATATACATTTATCTGATCAGGTTCTGTTAAAAAAAGTCTTCTACAGTGAAGGAGAATGATGATTATTATCCTGTCATTAGAATGTTTCAAAGAAGTTCATATGAGATTTGTACCAAGAAGACAAACTATCGATAGTTAGATTTGCAAAGGAGGTTTTTTAATGATATTTTATCTCTTTTATCAGAGACAGGAGAATATTTCTCTTTTCTTTTGTTGACATATTCAACAATTGCTTCTTTTTTGCTCGTGTAAATGTATCTATAATTGTAACTTATTTGAACAATTTCAAATTTCCATACTCATTTGTACCTTGTTAACTTGTCGTCATAACATATAAAAAAAAACAGCACAGAATAAAATCTAAATTAACATATATAGATATTTGATTTATTGTTTTTTGTTATCGTATTGTTTTATGAATTCTATTATTTATTGTTCATATCACACACACAAAATAACAAAAACAAAAACAAAAAAAGAAAACTTAATATGTTTTTCTTTTTGTTGAAACACGAAAAAGAAGACTACAGACAGTGTTTTGCTTCTTTTGATGATTGATAACACACATATATGACATAAAGAGCAAGGTATCGTGTGCATGTGTATGTGTGAATGTTATGCACGAGCCAAAAGAAAAGATAGAGAACATCATCAACAATAACGATAGGGAAAAAGAAAGAAAAAATGCAATTAGTAGAGTTCAAAGAACGGAAAAGAAAAGAAAGAGATTCGCTGTTCGTGTACACTCTCAAATTTGTAAAAAAAGCAAAAAAATGTTCTTACCACCAACATAAAATATATTTTTATTTTTTTAAAATCATCAATGAGGTGGTGATTGTTCATCATCTAGATTTGAATGTTATAGTGGCCCAGGTCAATCGATACAGCTATCCGTATTTTCACCGTAAATTTACTTCATACGGCACCGTAAACGGACCGTATTTTCTCGTCATTTTGGGCACAGTAATACAGCAATGCATACAGGGCCGTATTTTCACAGTATACGGCCGTATACGTGCCATAATCTCATTATGATAGGGCCGTATAACAGCGTCCACGATTATGGCCGTATACGGATCATATTGTTCGACCTGGCTAGACCTACATGTTGAATACTTAATTGTTGAATTGGTATTATTGTTGGAACATGTGTATTATTATTTGCTTGTAATAATGCTGATGATCGACTATCATTTAAATTCATTGGATAAGAAGGAGGATACATAAGTGGATGATAATAAGAATGATGACGTCACGCTCTCATACCAAAACTGCCGGGTATCATAGGTAAAAAATGCATATGTTGTTGTTGTTGATGACCAGACGGTGGAGTACGAAATGGATCCATATTGTGCATTGGAACATAATTTGATTATGGTAAACGATGAGGATATTGTTGCATTGGTTTAGATGGAGGTAAATCTTTTGAGGAATATGATGAAACATCAGAATATGAAATCATCATTTCATTTGGATTCATTGATTGATTTAATGGAGATAAATTACTAGGATAATGTGGATTAAAATGTGTTAGTATTGTATTCCATGGATCTAACATAGGGTGATGATGATTCATATCCTAAATAAAAATAAAAATTTCAAATTTGTTTTGAAAAGAAAAATAAAATATACTTAAAATTGTATATATTGTAATGGTAAATTTATATCATCAATTGATTTAGATATATATTCGAAATTTGGATTATTTAATGATTGTTTTGATCCTTGATTAGTTGATGAATTATATGATGAAATTGATGATTGTAAAGTACTTGTAATTTGAGACATATGACTTAATGATGATGTCATATTTGATATAGGAGGTTTTGAATCATTATTCATATATAATGATTTATCGTTTGTTGAATTATTATTTGACATCACTAATGATAATGATGGATTATTATTTCTTATTAATTTTGATGAATGTGATGATGCAGTTGGAATACTTTGTGATCTTATTATTTGAAAATGATGAGTACGTGTTGTAGAACTGGATGGTTGCCATTGCCGTTAAAATGGTAATGTATTTGAATTATGATTTGATGTTGTCAATGATTCATCTTTATATGATGAAGATGAAGATGATCGTAGACTACCAGCTATTTCATTACCTGATCGGTATGTTCGATTTAAATGTCGAGTAGTTGTTAATTGTTCACCATCCATATCTGAAAGAAAAGGAACACGAAAATAATAATAAAAATTTTCACATTGATTTTAAATATAAAAGTTTTAACAGCAGCGAAAATAGTAACTACACAATGTATAAAGAGAGACTACCATTTTGACAGAATTTACTTTATATTGAAATGATCGAGACCTTGTGAAATTACATTAGCAGTCTTCAATAGTGACAATATGACGTAAGCATCAAGTGTTTTTCTGTTCTTCGTATAGTATACATATAGGCTATTTCAAATAGTTAACTAATGTATTTTTACTATAAGATGACGTGCTTATTTACTCGTTCTATCAGAGATGGAACCGGTAGGGTTTTTTCCTTACCGGTACCGGTACCGGTCTAAAGGGTCAGACCGGACCGGACCGGCCGGTAGACCGGCACATTTTTTTA